TCGAAGATCGATCTTAGGTCTGGATATCATCAAATGAGAGTGCGAGAAGAGGATATTCCCAAGACGGCGTTTAGGACTYGATACGGTCATTACGAGTTCCTAGTTATGCCTTTTGGTCTAACAAACGCACTAGCAGTCTTCATGGATTTAATGAATAGAGTATGTCGACCGTATCTAGACAAGTTCGTGATCGTGTTTATAGATGACATAATTATTTATTCTCGAGACAAAAAGGAGCACGAGCAACATTTAAAACTGATACTGGAATTGCTTAAAAACGAAAAGTTGTACGCCAAATATGCGAATTTTGGATTCGTGAAGTGCACTTTCTTGGCCACGTGGTAAATGAAAAAGGAATCCAAGTTGATCCAGCTAAGATTGAGGCCAGTAAGAAATGGGAATCCCCTAAGACACCAACCGAGATCCGCCAATTTCTTGGATTGGCAGGTTATTACTGGCGATTTATCGAGAATTTTTCTAAGATCACGCAACCACTAACAACTCTAACCCAAAAGGATAAGAAGTTCATTTGGGGAGAGAAACAAGAGGAAGCCTTTCAGACACTCAAACACAAGTTATGCAACGCACCGATCTTGGCCTTACCAGAGGGAGTAGACAATTTTGTAGTCTATTGTGATGCTTCACATCAAGGGATGGGATGTGTACTGATGCAAAAGGAAAAAGTTAATGCATACGCATCGAGACAACTGAAGATTCACAAGAAGAATTATACTACTCATGATTTGGAGCTAGGAGCGGTGGTGTTCGCACTCAAGACTGGAGACATTATCTCTACGGTACTAAGTGCACTATTTTCACGGATGACAAGAGCCTTCAACATATTGTTGACCAGAAAATGCTCAATATGAGGCAAAGAAGATGGGTTAAGCTACTTAGTGACTACGATTGTGAAATAAAGTACCATCCAGGCAAGGCTAATGTAGTAGCCGACGCTTTAAGTCGAAAGGAAAGGGTAAAACCGACAAGAGCACGTGCTATGGGAATGATGGTTCAGACGAGTTTAAAGACTCAAATTTTGGAAGCACAAGGAGAAGCTCTGAAAGAAGAAAACATGAAGAATGAAACCTTGCAGCACTTAGAGAAAGAATTTGAAATGCAAGAAGATGGAGTGCATTACTTTAAGAATAAAGTATGGATACCAAAGGTTGGTAACCTACGATCAACCATTTTGGACGAAGCCCATCGATCCAGATATTCGATTCACCCAGGAGCAGATAAAATGTATAAGGATCTGAAAGAGTATTATTGGTGGCCAGGAATGAAGAAAGATATTGCTTTGTTCGTAAACAAGTGCCTGACTTGTGCCAAGGTAAAGGTTGAACATCAGAAACTATCTGGTCTACTCCAGCAACCTGAAATACCACTATGGAAATGGGAGCAAATAACCATGGATTTCGTAACTAAGCTACCCAGAACTGGAAAGGGGCACAATATTATATGGGTTATAGTAGACCGACTTACCAAATTAGCTCATTTCATTCCCATTCGTGAAGATTTCAGTATGGAAAGACGTGCACAAATCTACATCAATGAAATAGTTACACGTCATGGTGTGCCTATTTCCATTATTTCGGATAGAGATACACGTTTTACATCACGATTTTGGTAGTCTCTTCAAAAGGCATTGGGTACGCGCTTGGATTATAGCACCGCCTATCATTCTCAAACAGATGGACAATCAGAAAGAACTATTCAAACGCTAGAGGATATGTTGCGTGTGTGTGCAATAGATTTTGGTGGGAGTTGGGATACCCATCTGCCTCTTGTTGAATTCTCTTATAACAACTATCACACCAGCATACAATGTGCACCGTACGAAGCTCTATACGGACGTAAATGCAGATCGCCGCTTAGCTGGGTAGAGATCAGAGATAGACAGTTGACAACGCCCAATATTATTCAGGAAACCACCGACAAGATTTCAATCATCAAGGAGAGACTCAAGACAATAAAAGACCGTCATAAGAGTTATGCGGATAATCGGAGAAAGCCGTTAGAATTCCAAGTAGGGGATAAGGTACTTTTAAAGGTATCGCCATGGAAGGGACTAGTACGTTTCAGGAAGAGAGGCAAGCTGGGTCCCAGATACATTGGTCCATTCGAAATACTCAAAAGAATCAGACCAGTGACGTACAAGTTGAAGTTACCACAAAATCTAAGTGCCATCCACGACACGTTCCATGTGTCGAATCTGAAGAAATGCCTAACGGATGAAACAATAGTGCTACCCCTGGACGACGTTCAGATTAACGATCGGTTACACTTCATTGAAGAACTAATCGAGATACTGGACCGAGAAGTTAAACGGTTGAGGCGCAGTAAAATTCCTATTATTAAGGTCCGCTTGGCCCACAGTACACTTGGGAACGAGAAGATTTCATGAAAGGCAAATATTCGCATTTGTTTGCAGAGAAATCCATTGGCAGTAGCAGTC